TATTTGAGTTTGGAGCCTGTTGTACACTCCAGCCTTGGCCTAATGCATCTCCCAAAAATGTGATTCTTTGGTTAAAGTCCCTTCCTCCTCTGCCTGAGTGGGTCAGATCCGGAGCTCTCAGGGCAGCCCCTCTTCTCCCAGAGATCAGAACTGCAAGGGGGATGGACCTTCCTCCTGCTCTCACTGAAATGGGCCCTGAAGGCTCTGCTGAATTCTTTGCAAACCCTCTCATCTCCCCAGGGATTCTTCCAGAATGTGGAAAACAATCACATGGAAATCCCATCCAGCAGTGGGGCTTCACACAGCTCCCCTGAGGCTCCTCCAGTGCCTCTCCTCAGCCCAAACCCTGCAGGGACATTCCCCAGCACAGCAAAAGGGACGTGGGCACACAAGGAAGCAGCTAAAAGCAAACTGGCAAAGGGGCATTTGAGGTCTCTGCCAGCCTCCTTGGGCAGCTCCACCCAAATAGAAACTCTGGAGGCAGTTCCAGGCTCGCCTGCACCAAGCCATGGCTCTCCATCTGTGCTTTCTGTGAGAGGCAGAGAGAACAGAGACGCTCCAACAGGCAGGGCACTGATGGCGTGGCTGCTTTTAGACAAACCTAAATCAGGGGCCAAGGCAGAGCCCCAAAGTCTGGGATAATCCACCCCCTGCAAGCTGTGCAGAGCCCACGCCTCAGGCTCAGCCAGGTGGGATTGTACAAAAAGGGCTGTATAAAAAGCTGAGCAAAGAAAGCAGATTTTATTTCCAGTGCTCACACACACACCAGGCCCTCCTCAAAACTCCAAGTGGCATCTGAGTCCCGTGGTCACCACAGGAGCAGCACTTTACCCCACTCTGCATCCCAGTGTTTGCTCAAATCCCATTTCCAAACCCAGCTTGCACTGCCAGCACCTCAGAGCTCCTTCCAGCACTGCTCAAGAGCAGTTCAGCCCCTCTCAGGCAATTGGGAAATTGCTTTTTGGACAATCCTCGTGATTGTTGTTTGTTAGCAGCTGTTGGATGACCCCTCCTCAGGGACATCCTGGACTGAAGGAGCATTTTTGTGCCTTGCTGCACATTTGTTACCTCAAACCAGGCCTGGCCTGGGGACCCAATGAACCACCAGGGATTTCCTCAAGGTTTAGGAGCTGGGGTGACAGCAGCTGAACCCAATTCTGTTTCTGCTGCCAGGAAATGCAAGGCAGCGAGATGAATCTCTGAACATGTCTGGCCTGAGGCACCAGCCCTGTGTAAGGTTACTGAGAGCAAACACCTTTCCCTGGTGGCTGCTGCCAGGGCAGAACAGCACATCCTGCCCTGCCAGAGCTTGGATGTTATCCAAACTCTTCCTTCTCAGAGGAGAACTCCTGCTTCTCTAACAGGCAGCATCCTTAAATTGAATTTTGCCCTCATTGAACTGAGTTATGCAGCAGAAATTTTTTTTTTCTCTTCTTCTCAACCTCAGAGAGGCCTCCCCTTCTCTTGTGCCCAGCACTTCAGAACAGAGCCAGGCTGTGCTGGCAAATGGCTCATGAGGGTTTAAAATGCCCATCCCAATGTCCTGCTTGGACAGGGAGCAGTCAGAGATTGAGCAGAAAATGCTGTCAAAGGTTTGAACACGTCAAAACCCTGTGAGCCCCACAGGAGAGCAATCAGGTCATGACAGCAGATCAAAACCAGGAGCCACCAACAACACCAGAGCTTCCCACCTGCATCCTACTGTCACAGACACATTTTATGAAAAATCCTTTCGTTAGGATTTTTCTCCTCAGAAGCTGAGAGGCCTCAGAAATGAAATAGAAACAATAATTATCTGCTGCTGTGGAAGGCAACAGGTGCATCTGTGATTGGTCTCATGTGGTTGTTTTTAATTAATGGCCAATCACAGTCAGCTGCCTCAGACTCCCTGGTCAGTCACAAGATTTTATTATCACTCCAATCTTTTCTATTCCTTTCAAGCCTTCTGATGAATCCTTTCTTCTGTTCTTTTAGTATAGTTTCAATATATAATTTTCTTTTAATATAATATATATCATAAAATAATAAATCACCCTTCTGAAACATGGAGTCAAGACTCTCATCTCTTCCCCCGTCCTGGGACCTCTGCAAACACCACCACATCCTGCCACCAACCTCAGTGAAAACATCAGCTCCTGGAGGAGGGATAACCTGCAGCTCCACTGGAAAGGGAATCTTTGAGTCCCTCCTGTGCCTCTCCTGCCTCCTGCAGGAGGAACCCACTCACCCACAAGGGGGTTTGCTCACACGGGTGATGGCAGTGCCAGCTCTCTAGCCACAATCCTTCCCACCACTGATTTCAGCAGGATCTCCATGTAGCCAAATCTCAGACCTTCCTTCCCAAAGAACCTCACATCATTTTTATACCTTCTGCAGCTCCAGAGCTGAAAGATGCCTCCTTAACCCACGGACCAAAGGCTCTTCCACTCCTGTCTCCTGCTCTTTTTGGGAAGCTCAATAAACCTAAACCACACCAACCAGGGGGTGTTTCAGAAGTGTCCTCCTCTCCTGAGGAGCAAGGGCAGAGCATCCCAACCCAACCTCCTTCCCAGCTGGTGCCTTGGTAAAGGAGAACATTCTGCTGCCCAAGGAGACCTCCAGCCCCACACTGCCCCCCAGACAGCTCAGACATTCCCCTGAACTCCTGAAATATTTCATCCCCAGCCCTGCAGATGTTCAGCAAGACCTGGGGTACGTCTCCTGCCTGTGGAGCTGCACCAAGAGCCAAGCCCAGCCCCTGTGCCACCACCCCGTGTCCACCAGCCACCACAGAAAGGCACAGGGGATGTGACAGCTGCTGGCAAGGGTGACAAGCCTCCTGCCCCCCCAGCTGAGCAGTGTCCCCAAGAAAGGCAGAGCAGAGCAGGGCAGGAGCAGCTGTTAGTACCTCTGTGCAGGAAAGAGGCCGTTCTCTGGATAATCCCTGATGAGGAAAAGGAGGGGAGAAAGGCATGAGGCAGGGAGGGGATGCACTGGGGGTCCAGCAGAGCTCACAGCACCTCCAGGGCAGTGCTGGGAGCTGTGGGCATCTCACCCACCCTGGAGAGCCCCACGGAGCCTCAGGGATATGGGGTGGGGGCCATGGGGAGGGACCTGGCCCCACAGCAGGAGAGCTGGCCTGTGGGTGGGAGCAGGAGTTGGTGCAAGCAGCAGAGAGGAAAGGAGTCCTTACCAGACCTCTTCTTTCCAATGGGCTCCCTGAAAAAGAGAAGAAGAGTGTCAGCAGAGTGAGGGGACAGTTGGGGTGCTGGCTGAGTGACAAACCCACCCAGGAGTGCACACAGTGCTGGCTGTGGTGGGGCCACTGACCCTTCTCACCGAGCCACTGTCTCCATGGGCATCACCCACCTGCAAACAGCCCCTTCCTTTCATTTCATAATTTAATGTTTTGTCCTTCCCAGGCTGAGCTTGGCTGCTGGCCTGGCCTTGCAACTTCCACCGAGGCACTTGGTACCCCCTTGGGCACTCATCCATGGGAGTGTCAATAAAATAAATAAAATAAAATAAATAAAATAAAATAAAATAAAATAAAATAAAATAAAATAAAATAATAAAAATAATAAAATGCAGCCAAGATGGAGTGGAAACAAACAAGACATTGCTACAGAAACTGGAGCCTGTTGAGTTGAGAGAGCGCAGAGTGTGCAGAGACCCACAGGGGAATCTGGGACAGAGCATCCCAAAGATTTCTCATTGCAGAGCTAAATCAGAGTTAATTAATAACCCCAATTAAATTTCCCCCAGTTCAGAGGTGCCACAGGGAAGGGAGGCAAAGCCAGGCCAGGCTGGAGACCAGCAGGTGGGGATGGGAATAACTGGAGTTCCTGCCCTGCCTTCTGCTAAAGCCATCACTGTAACTCATCCCCTGCCTCCCTCCCCTGGCTGCTCCCTCAGAGCGAGGGGGCAAGGAAGGAGCTGCAATTCCACTTTGCTGCTGGGATGTTCCTGGCAGGCACACAAAGAGCTGCAGGTCTGAGGAGCAGCAGCCTGGCCCAAGCACCTCAGAGGGGACAGGAGCTCAGACAAGACAGGAAACAGCAATAAACTCCTGGCAGCATCTCCTCCTCCTCCTCCTCCTCAGATCCCCGTGGAGCAAGAAGGGCAGAGCAGAGCTCATGTGCACAGCTCCATGGAAACTCATGGCTCCAGCAGAAAGGGAGGAAAAACGCCTCTGCCTTCCACTGTAAATCCCATTTAGCTCCAGCCCCCAGCAGCCACAGCATAGTTACAAAGCACCAATGCCCAGCTGGGACAGGGGGACACCAAGCAGCCCCAGAGAGGTGGAAAAAAGCCAGGAATGCTTCTCCAGCAGCTTCCCAGAGCGCTGAAGGCAAAGGTTGCTGTGAGACTGGAGCTTCACTTAAAGCTCTGAGCCAACACCACAGGCTCAGTGGGCTCAGCTCAGTGTCCTTCAAGAACCTCACAATGCCCTGAAAGGAAACTCTGACAGATGGAGAACTCTTTGCACATTCAATAATCCACATGCCGCAGTTTTTTTAGTTAAAGAGAGTCAGGTTTCTCAAGCATCTTCTCTAGGCAGCATCCCTGAGGATCCCGGGGTGGGAAGGACTGAGAGGGGGAGCACAGAGGTTGAGCAAAGTGAACAGACTTTAAAAATAAATTAAAAGCAAGTACAAAGAGGCTGCTTTTCAACAACCTGTAAGACAACTGCTAAACTACTCACTGCAGGATGCTGGGGACACTGAAATTCTTCATGGACTTACAGGGTCGTAATTCAGGCAAGAAATGTTAATTAAAAGCCATTAATTCTAAAGCCAGGTCTAAAGAAGAGTTGTTACAAGCTGGCTTGAGTTTATAAAGTTTTTCCTGAGGCACATTTGGTGGCTGCTGGGCCAGGCAGGTCCCAGAGCTGCAGGGAGGCAGCCCTGAGGTTGTCACCCAGAAAAACCCACCTTGCAGTGGGACTCACAGCAGAAAAGTGCCCCCAGATGTGGCTTTGGGGACCTCAGCACTGGCCCTGCTGGTGGAATAGGTGAAGGACTGGAAACCCAACAGGAGGAAAACAACTGCAGCTGCTGCAAACCCACACAGGAGCCACATCAAACAGGATGGATCTGAGGTCAGCATTCCAAGAAAACATCTCCCTCACATAAAAAAAAAAACCTCTCTTGTAAAAAAAGTCGTGCTGTAACACAGTAATGCCACCAAAATAGCTGTCAGGAGGGGCTTCATCTCCTGAGCATCCAGCCAGCTTGGAGATTTTTGCAAGATTTATGGAGGCAAGGAGCAGGGGACAAGAGAGCCCTTGTTGGGGAGAAGTGATGTTTAGCAAATGCTGCAGCAGCCCTGAAAGGAGCTCCTGTCCCCACACTGCAGGGCTGGCCAAGCTGAGCCCTGGGGCTCAGCAAAGCCAGAGCCTGCCCAGGAGCTGGCACTCTGCAGGGCTCTGCAGAAATTGGGATTTCTGCCTGCTGTCAGCCAGGACAGGCAGCTCTCACAGAAAGGGGAGGAGGAGGCTGCTCTGGAGCTGGGATCCAGCCTGAGCTCTGGTGGGGATCAGCAGAAATGCAAAACAAACAACTCTGTGTGGAAGCTGGGATCTGTCTGCAGAGCAGGACACGACCCCAGAGCCGCAAACCAGCAAAAATCCTTATCCAAAGCATCATCCACCAACCCATGGGTCTCTGCTCCACCAGCAAAAGCTCCTGGGGTGGCTTCCTGCAGCCCCTGCATCCCTGAGCAGAGACAAAGTTCAAAGCAACAACTTTTGTAAGTGTTTTATACTTGATGGGCTGCTCAGCTCACCAAAAAACCCAGAGAAAAATGCTTTTCACTGAAGAGGTTTCTCATGGCCAGGGTGGGAACAGCACAACAGCCCCTTCCCCATCACACCCCACTTGTAACTGTGGGCAGTGAATAAATACTTGGTAATAC